CCTGGGCTAGTGCAGTTAGGTTCACAGTTGGCATCCAACTGTATCAATATTTGCCTTTGCCAGCAGCATTCAGGATGGCTTGAACATCCATCTACTGCTTCCAATTTGAATCTATGGTAAAAGAAAACTGAACACAAGACAATGCAGCGGGAAAAGCAGCAATACTTTGAGATTTTTAAAGATTTAAAGCTTTCTGTTTATATCCCATAGAGGCACATGTGAAACCCTTTCATTTTAAACAGATATTACAGGGGAAAAGTGCTGTAGGGGGTTTTGTACAGCCTTTGAAGAGGCAGTAGCCATGACTGACAGGTGATCTTGGCAACCCTAGTAGGCTAGGTGTTTAAGCATGCATGGCTTGAATCCCTATGTCTGTGTGGGTTTGTGTGTCTGAAGCTGGATGCATGTCTGTATAACAAAGAAAGCTGTGTGAATCACTGAGGCAAAACATGCGCTGTTGGGTGAAAGCTGACCTGGCAATCTCAGATCCAGGGATTGTTTCAGGGAGCTCTCCTCATAGAGACTGACTTCAGCGGGAACACACTTTGTGATCTGATCAAAACTGCAGATACTTCACTCAGTTTGGAAGTCCATCCAAAGTACTTCTAATCTTTAAAGTTTAATGCTCTAATGAACACCGACAACTGTCTGATTAGCATAAACTCTCTATCGTGCCTCACACTGATCTTTTATAAATACATCCTATCTAACATATAGCTGTGGTCAGAGTGAAGCTTCAGTCTGATAACTGTTCGTGTACTCATGGAGTCGGAGTTGTAAGTGTTACGTTATTCTGTGCTAAAGTAAAAGGTGCTGTCCTTTTTCTTCTTTCAAGGTCAGAATTAAGTGGTTGCATTTGATGAAGGACTTAGCTTTTAGATTTAATCCTTTTGTTCAGTTTAAACAAGGTCTGCTGTATTTGCCAAGTTAGTCCAGTTCACTTTGGTGGAACTGAAAGCAATCAGTCAAATTGTGGTGAGGTCCAGTCAACTGCAAATGCAAAAAAATGCATTGCTATTTCAGATACAGTGAGGTAATGCCAGCATTACTACATATGTACAGTACTATGAAAAGGTACCTACCCCCTTCTTGATTTCTTTTTGCATATATGTCACTTAAACATTTCAAATCATCAAACAAATTTAAATATTAGACAAAGATAACCCCAAAAGCTTTCCAAACCTACCTGGCCCTATGTGTGGAAAAGAACCCAGAACAACATCTGAAGAACTGCAGGCGTCACTTGCCACAGTTAAAATAAGAGTTTAAGATTCAACAATAAGACAGAGACTGCACAGACGTGGCATCCAGAGAGAAAACTAGTCAAAGTCTGGACTTAAATCTGATTGGGATGCTTGGGTATGACTTTAAACAGGCGACCCATGCTGGAAAAACCTGAATTACAACAATTCTGCAAAGAAGAGTGAGCCAAAATCTTCCACCGTGTTGTGAAAAACTCATTGCTAATTAACACAGACGCTTGATTGCAGTTGCCAATGGTGGGACAAACAGTTATTAGTTTGGGGGGAAGTTACTTTCTCACATAGGTTTGGATCTTTTTTTAATAAGTAGGAACCTTTTTTCCCTTAGTAAATAAAATCATCAGTTCAAAACTTATTATAAATTTTGGAAACACAAAAGTGTTTTTGCATTCAGACAGATTGAGCCATATAAATGTAAAGTATTGTACTAATTTAATAAAAGAATGCTCTTCATGTGGAGTTTTTGTACAACAACCATGATCTGTGAATTGGTGTGCACATTTAATGCAACAGGCTCACTGAACATGGGAAAAGTGAGACATATTGTTGACACTGTGTTTAATATTCTTAAGAAAATTTCAGGATGCGCATCATCTATTTTGTAAATGCATGGCTCATTACATATGGAAATGCAATATTTTTTTAAAAAATGTACTTCTTTACAATTCAAGAAATGAGCAGTTTAGAGGGGTCTGTGTTTCATGTGGTTTATTATGGCTTTGTTTTAATGGTTCAGCCAACTTGAAATCAAATTAAGCTGTATGTGGCCCATGAACTAAAATGAGTCAGATACTCCTGGGGTAGAAGGAGATTTCCCAGACTGATGATTGATCAAAAGCTAAAAACAATTTGAAAACTGCAGGGTGCTACAATTGCAGTACTATTTGGTGAACTAAGATAAATCACTTAACAACTTCTGTGCCATCATGCAGAAATGTGCCCAGCACCCATTAAAATGTTTTGGCTCACTTGCATCTGGAGATTAGCATTGAGATCTTTTCTTTAACTGCATATTTTTCCCATCAGGTCTAATTTTTGAAAATCAAATAATACCTCATGTGTGCTGGTGATCCCTCAGCACCAACATAAGGATACCACTTATAAAAATGATGTTTCCTCAGTGAAGATTTTGGTAAAAGCAATGCAATTTGTTTATTGAACCAAATAATAATGTGCGCACAATTAGAATCAGCCACTATTGTCAACAGTGAATAAACTGCATGTTTGATGGCAGACGGTGCTTATTTACCACATATCAGTCAAGTTAGCAAACTTCAATTTAACACCATGAGTGATGCACTGTTTAGCTTGAATCAGCATCAGTAAAGCAACAGATCACATTTCAAGTCATGACATTTAAGCACCAAACTGTGATTTGAGCTTTAAATTATGCAAATTTCATTATGTTCTCTTCACCAAAGTGGCTGAATTATTTATTTTTCTTGGTAGCTCCAGAAAGCCTGGAACAGGATCCAAACAACCATGCTGGAAGGGTCTGTGAACCTCGGTGAGGTACAGTCAGCCTGTTAGTATGTGGCTATACAGTATCATACAGTCCATGCTTCTAATTCACCATGGTTGCATGCTAAATTAGCTCATTTGCATCTAACACAAAATACAGCTGAGTCTCCAGAGTGTTATTAGTTTTGCACATACCTGCTTGTAAATCATAGGATTGGACAAATTAAAATGTTGATCTGGTAATTGTGCTAGATGAAAAATCAAGGCGTCACAAAAGCAATCACTCTTCATTATGAGAGGGAAAAGTATCGACTGCTCCAAATTGCATGGCACCCCATTTAATGGTTATCAAAACACATCACTTTAAAGCACAAATGTCAACCTCGTGGTACTGTCACCAGAGGAAAAGTCCAATGGACAAAGCTTAATATACAGGCTGGCAGACTGACACCGCAACACCCAGATTCCCAACCCTGACATGTGTTGCACATATACAAGCCAGCTAGGTTTTATCAAATGCCACATGGTTCAACTTTGGAAGTGACTATTGTTAAGGATAAACATTTGAAATACCTACTGTGCACTGCAGTTGAGATTGCAGCCACTCATCTTCCTAATTTAAAGGGACGCCACTAGGTCAGCACGTGTGTTTAGTTTGTGACCATCTGGAGCAGAGGTCAAAGTGTTTATTTGGGGATCAGCAGAGGTGCTGCAATATCAGAACAAGATGAATTATTAAGGAGGTTGCAGGAAGAGGTGACCATACCGTATTCTCCTTTACCATTTGCAAAGCAAGAAGCACAGATGGTTCTTTTCATCTGATGAGATGGCCGCGGAGGGAGACTATATGTGTCTGTATGTGGGTGTGAGATAAACTAATATGCGACAGCCACCAGGCAATTGGCCTGTTTGTGCACCCTGCCCTTTTACTGTAAGTGAAATTTCCTCTTCCAGTGCTCCCTGCTGCTACATTGTCCCACTTACAAATTCCTGCCTGACTCCTGTCAGCAATCCAAATAAATAATCAGCTATCAAATCTCTCATGGCAAGAATGTGCATCTGTGCTCGTGGTGGCAAACTGGCGAGAGGAATCTCTTCATCTGTCACGTCACAGTTAGTCATCGCTGGATCAAGAGAACTTCGTCTTTGATTAGAAAAAATCAATGCGTGCTCTGCAGAGGCTCTTCTCTGTGGGCTCACAGAGAAGCATATCTGACAAAGACAACTAAAACAGCAAAATATATATTTGTTTGCACATCTTTTCTTTCACTCTGTCATATAACACTCAGGAAGAACTGTCAGAAAGTCAAAAATCAGCTTCTCCTTCACCCATCCTCATGTAATGATGACGCTTGCATTTTTTTTAAGGCTCTCCAGTTATTTTCTCATTCTCAGGTGACATTTTGACATTGCTGGAGAAAAATGAAAAAGATATTCAGCAACAGGAAATACACCTCAAGCAAATGTGACTGTCTCAATAGATGGCTAGCCTTGGCATCGAGCTCTGCTGACGTATAAAAGCTGAAAGGAGACTGGGGGGGAAGTAAGATGCTATAGAGAAAGAGAAGTCTTCATCTGTGTGTGAGATGTCACATGAAAAATTGACAGCGTGTGAGGGTCAGGGGTGTTTAAAAGAAAAAGGAGAGGGGGAGAAAGGGTGGGTGGGGGGAGTACTCGTGGGAAACAGTGCAGAGGGGAGGTTGAAGAGTATCCAGAGGTCCTGTGACTCACTGGCACTTTTTAACACAGTGGACTTTGACAGGTAGCTGCATATACACTGTAACACAGCTCACATACAAATAACTGGTTAAGTAAAACACACAGCGCTGCTGCTGTATGTACCAGTAATCAAAAAGTCGACATCCACTACCCCATCCTCCTACCAA